GTGTGAGTGTACCATCAAATCACATCTGACTGGCACAGGAGGAGATTGTCCCTCCTTCCCCGGCAGAGCATCTGGTGGATTCGAACCGTGCGCCTCTGGGATTGAAGAGTACTCTTTTTTATAGAATTTTTGTGAAATCTTAAGTCAGTGGTACAGATAATGCACTTTAATAAGTGATCATACAGAAAGAAAACAAAGAGACCAGAATTACTTCACACCTGAGTACCCTTGTGTGAAATAAGCTTTGAATTGTGGTTCAAGGACTGCTGAGTATGGAAGTGAGACCCTTGAACTAGAAGTTGAATCTACTTCTGGTGCTGCCCCTGACGAGTTATGGGGCTTTAAGTCATTGAAATTGTCTTTATCTTGGTTTCCTGATCTGAGATGACTTACAGCTAAATAATTGTGACAACAGCTAATTGATATGGAGGACTGTATATTGACAGCCAGTTACTGTGCTAAGTGTTATGTTATAATGTTGTGATGATTCAATCTTGGTTAAACGCAGAGAATACCAGGAAGGTGTTTGTTGTTGTAATGTACTGTCGTGTTGGAACTGAGTCATAGTTGATCCTCCAGTGTGTTTTAAGAAGCAGTAAATCATGCAGGAGGAGATTGCCCATCTTTTTCCCTCAGAGCAAGTAGATTTGAACTACTGGCCTTGGGATTGGCAGGACAGCCCCTTACTAGAGCTCCCAGGAAGACTATGTTTATTTGTGTTTGATTTATTGTCTAAAGGCATCTATCTGACTGTCGATCATAACAAATTAAAGATAACATTGCAAAGACTGGGAATTCCAGAATACTTAAGTGTTTATGAGACCTGTACACATACCAAGAGGCAGTCTTTAAACTTGACAAGGGGATCCTCTGTGGTTTGAAAAAAACTTTGTGTCAAAATTGAGTCCTCTCACCATACTTAATTACGTCTGTGTGCTGATGAAGATCAAAGACTATTTTCTTCTGTGTGGATTATACCTCAAAATAAAGAGAGTGGAATCTTTGCAACTGGACAAATAAGGAACATCATTATAAACTGAGAAAAGATTGAAGCTGTTATAGATTTCATTTACTTTCCATAATCAGTGCCATGGAAGCAATAAAGAAATAAAATACCATGTGCCAGGCAAATCTACAAAATCAAACTGAAAAAGAAAATCATCATGATAGAATTGGTTCATAGTCGTCCTTAAAGGACAGAGTAGAACTAACTGACCCCATAGCGTTTCAGAATCTTTGTGGAAGCATATACTGCCTAATTTTTCTTCTCTGGCTGGTGAGTTTGAACTGGTGACCTTTTTAATTAGCAGCTGAGTGCTTACTTACTAGGCCTCAAGGGCTCCCCTGTAGAAGAAGACCTTTTTAAAGTGTTAAAGAGAAAGATGATCAGTCACTAAGATACGTAGGACCTAAGCATGAGATTTCCAGTAGTGTTGTACATGTAGACAACCTTAAATTTATCCAGAATCACAAGTGATAGGCTTGGACTGTGAAGTGCTTGAGTTCATGAGGTTTGCTTTCTTTTACATTTAATTTTCTGATCATGCTTTGTTTCTTCCCCTAGTACTCCATGGAGTGTAAGATTTGGATTTGAGACTGTGTTATAGTTAGGTATACATAGAGTGTGTATGTACTCCTGTGGAAGTAAAGAGCGGTTATTTCCCCCCAGTCTTATGAAATAAAATCTTATCTGAGATGCTTTGAATTCATGCAAGGCAAATACCGAAGGCTGAATCTTTATCAGTAAAGCTCTCAAATAGAGCCCTAAGCAGCCAAACATCTAGATTTAAAAGCAGGCGTTTTGTGCAGCTGGAATTACTAGCTGACGGTCCGTTTTCCTTAAACTAGGAATTGGTATGTTAGTTAGGGAATCATGGGTCATTGTAAGTAGAGTCATGAATCTTGATTTGGTTTTTAGTTCTTTTCACCCCCACCTTGCTCTCCTAGACCCCACTGTCAGCTATATTTGGCTTGTTCCAGTGTTGTTTGGGAATCTAAGCCAGATGTGGTCTTTGAGTTTACACATGGCAGTCTTGGAGGTTTAATTGGAATGAGGAGGGAAGGAGAGGGGAGTAAAAATTGATAAATAGGTAAGTTGAATGAAGGGAAAAGAAACACAATAAGGAGTTGGTTAGGCGCTGTAATTCATTATCATATCATTGTATGCTGTTATGTGCCGATGAATCGCCAACAACTCTTGGCTGACCCTTCAGTGGTTTATAGAGTCTGTAAATTAGGTGGGAAGAGATTGCTCCAAAGGAACAGCTGGTAGATTTGAACTGCATGCCTTTGGGTTGGCAGTACAACTCCTTACTACTAGGCCACAAGAGAGCCCTAATCACAGTCATCAGTAGTGATTGTTAGGTGCCATCGAGTTGAGCACAACTCATAGCGACCTGATGAACAAAAGATCTGAACTCTATTCTATCCTGCGCCATCCTCATACTTCCTGACACACAAGAGCCCAGTGCAGCAGTCACCGTGTCAATCCACGTCATTGAGGGTCTTCCTCTCCTTCACTGACCCTACATTCTTCCCAGAATCCTGTCTTTCTCCAGGGAATAGCACCTCTTAGCAACATGTTCAAAGTATGTGACATGAAGTCTCATCATTCTTGCCTGCAAAGAGTACTCCGACTACACCCTCTCCAAGACATATCTGTTTGCTCTCTTTGCCATCCCTGGGATGTTCAGTGCTCTTCTCCAACACCACAGATCAAAGGCATCAATTTGTTTTCCATCATTCTTATTCATTGTCCTGACTGTGGCCTGAATCAGACACACCTTACTCTTCAGACTGACCTCACGATTTCTCAATAATTTGGAAAGGTCCCTAACTTAAGATTTTCCCAGTGCATTGCATCTCCTTATTTCCTGACTGCTGATACCAAGGGTGAATCCAAACAAAATGAAGCTGTTAACAGTTTCAGTCTCCTCTCCATCCATCATGATGCTTTCTATCGGTCCATTGGTAAGAATCTTTGTTTTCTTGACATTGAGATGCAGTCCATACTGAAGGCTGCATTCCTTGATCTTGATCTCAACAAGTGCTTCAAGCCCTTCCCACTTTGGGCAAGCAAGGTTGTGTCATCTGCATAATGCAGATTATTGATGAGTCTCATCCTGATGCCACACTCCTCCTCATAGAGTCTAGCTTCTCAGATACAGATTGAGTATGTATGGAGGGAGACTACAACCCTGGCACGCTCTCTTCCCATTTCCAAACCGTACTGTGCTCCCCTGCTCTGTTTGCACAACAGCTTCCTGATCCAGGTATAGGTTCCTCATGAGCACAATCAAGTGCTCTAATGTGTAAACCTTCACTCACGAAAAATCCCCAAACACACAAACATAACCAAAAAACCTGTATAACAAATCTGGATCCAACTCATTATTTGTTTGGGTTTTTATGTACCATCAGTTCAACTCAACTCACACTGGCCCGTAAGGGGATCGAACCCGCAACCTTGGCATTATTAGCACCACGCTCTAACCAACTGAGCTAACCGGCCAGGAGAAATGTGGGGTCAAGATTGGTGGACGATTTATCAACAGTCTGCGTTATGCGGATGACACAACCCTGCGTGCTAAAACTGAGGAGGACCTGAAGCGCCTGCTACAGAGTGTCAAGGACTGCGGCCTACAATATGGATTGAGGCTCAATGTCAAGAAGACAAAGATTCTCACCACTGGACCAATTGGCAGCATCAGGATGGATGGTGAAGAGATTGAGATTGTACACAGCTTTAGTTTGCTTGGCTCAACAGTCTTGGCACCAGCAGCCAGGAAATTAAAAGGTGCATTGCCATGGGAAAGTCTGCTGGTAGGGACCTCTCCAAAGTGCTGAAGAGCAATGGTATCTCTTTGGAGACTAAAGTGCGTCTGATACAGGCCATGGTCTTCGCAATCACCTGTTATGCATCAGAGAGTTGGACAATGACCAAGGAGGATAGAAGGAGAATTGATGCCTTTGAGCTGTGGTGCTGGAGAAGAGTATTGAGGGTACCATGGACTGCTAGGAAAACAAACAGATTTGTCCTGGAAAGGGTTACACCGGGTGGCTCCTTGGAGGCAAGGATTCTGAGGCTCCGTCTAACATACTTTGGACATGTTGTGAGGAGAGACTGGTCCTTGGAGAAGGACATCATGCTTGGGAGGGTGGAGGGACAGTGCAGGAGAGGAAGGCCCTCTATGAGGTGGATTGATTCAGTGACTGGGATAATTGGGATGGGAGTGTCAGAGACAGTGCGATTGGCACAGGACAGAGCGGAGTTTAGGGCTGTTGTACATAGGGTCGCTATGAGTCGCAGGCGACTCGATGGCACATAACAACAACAACAACACCATCAATTCGTAACTGACTGGTACAGGAGGAGATTGCCCTCCTTTTCCAGCAGAACATCTGGTGGATTTGAACCATGTACCTCTGGGTGGATCCAGCTCATGATTTATGAGAGACAGTTTTTTATTCTTCTCTAGTAGCCTTGAACTGTATAGGTGTTCTAGCTTTTGCACTGGGGGAAAAAGATGGAATGGTGACACACTACATTGGCAGTTGTTCTTTCTTGCGGGAAGTTGAAGTTCAGATTTCAGAAGGTACATAAATGTTAACAAGGGCAGTAGTGTGAAATTTTCCTTTTGTAAGGATTTGGGGAGTTGTTGCTGTCTGGGTGTGTGCTAAAGATTTCACATTTTCCTCCTCCCCATAGAAGTGATACAATGATGAAGCTGTTCTTGCTGGGCCATTTCGGCTCTCCCACCCAAAGTTAAAATGTGAATCAGCAAAACTGGAGCTGGAGTTCCTTTGGATCATCTGTGTATTTTCTAACCATTGAGATTTATATTTAGTGACTAATGGCCTTGTGCTAGAAGCGTGTCTCTCCCACACAAGTTCCCAAAATTCTTTTTTATAAGGAAAACTGGCTGTGAGAAAGCACTCTGATTTAGAAATAAATCCTTTCCTCCTTGTTTTCCTGCAGGATTTGCCATCTCCAGATCTCCATGACATTCATTCCGGGGACCTGGGGCCCCCTTGCCCATGTAGGCAGAGCTCTCAGCCCACGCTGCTTCAGGTAACTTCCCACTGGCAAAATCTGCAGAGCATATTGTATTTTCTCTCTCTTCACTTCAGAGTTTATCTAGAAATAATTTGAAGATAACCAGTCAGTGGTGGGTTCAATTACTGAGTTGTAAGTAAAGGTTTTGAACCAGGGCTGGGGAATGTGGTTACTTGACAGAGAATTGAACATCAGGAAGGTGAGCTTGGGGTCTGGAGGCTCAGGGAATGGGGCTGAGCTGGGGCCTATTCATATCACAGTGGTAGGGCTAGGTAAGGAGATGGTGGTGCTGATGGAGGGGGAATAGGGAATGGGATATGGTAGAAGCTGCTACTTTTTTAGTCTTTTCCAGACTCTTTTTTTCTTTTTTATTGTATTATTTTTACGTGTACCATCAAATTAGATCTGACAGGTACAGGAGGAGATTGCCCCCTCCTTCGCCAGCAGAGCATCTGGTGGATTTGAACCGCATACCTCTGGGATTGCGGTGCAGCGTCTTGCCACTAGGCCACCAGAGCTCCCTTTTTCCAGACTCCTATAGTGACTCTGACATCTCTAAACCCTACCTTTCCCTCAGTGTATTGAAATCCTTAAATATCTATTTGTTTACATTTTGTTGTGCTTTAGGTTTATAGAAATTTTATAGAGCAAATTAGTTCCCTCCTCATTTTTTGAAAAACTTTTTATTGTGATTTGGGTGGAAATTTATAGAGTAAACTGGTTTTCTAGTCAGTAGTTCTACATTTTGTTCTGCAGTCCCCATCATGGAACAACAGTCTATTTCTTCCCTGCTGTTCTCTGTTCTTTCCTTCCTAGTCTTTCCTCAAGCCTTACAAGCTTTATCCCGGGCACATGCTGCCATTTTGATATTGTATGGCTGGTGGTTCTGAGGAAGTTGTATCTCTTTTCCTGTTAGTGTTCACCTCATAGGTCTACCCTGTCGTTTGACTGAAAATTGTAACTGAATTCAGTTCCATGCTCAATGATTGTCTTAGGGTGTCACCTTTCTCTATCAGACTAGTAAGTCTGGTAGACCTTTTTTTAAAAAAATAATAAAGTAAGTTTTGTTCTATGCTTCCCTTTCTATTCTGTCAGGGAACTTCTATTTTTATTCCTTTCAGAGCCATTGTAGTGGTAGTTGGGCACCATCTCGTTCTTCTGGTCTCAGACTAATGTTGTTTTACATCGAGTCAAAACTGACGTAAAACTGATCCTCCAGTGGGTTTACAGAGGCAGTAATTCACAGGAGAGCAGAGTACCCATCCTCCTCCTGTGGAGCAGCTGGTGGATTCAAACTATGTGCCTTTCGGATTGCAGCCCAACTTCTTACCACTAGGCCACCAGAGCTCCCTTCAGACTAATAGTCTTTCTTTTTTTTTCAAAATTTCTTTATTTTTCATTTCAATGAACATCTACAGAGATTTTGGAATTCCATTCATTCATTGTTGTACACCCCCCCACCCCACCCCCCGTTTGCTCCTCTCCTTCAAAAGCAAAAGAAAAACTCCCTCATTGGTACGCAATCCCCCACACACATCCCCCAACCCCAAATATAATCCACTCTGCAACCCTCATTATTCTTACGATAAACATAATTCCCTAAAATATAAAATATTCTCTCCCCCAGAGACTTCAATGCCGTAAATATATTTCATCCAGTTTTTCTCAGTCTTACCCCCATCCCGATGCCAGCCTCATTCTACAACAGTGGCACCATATAGCATTTGTCCCTTTGTAACTGAGATACCTCACTCAGCATAATGTCCTCCAGAGTCACCCATTTTGAATAATATTGCATGAGTTCCTTGTTTTTCAATGCAGCATGATATTCCATTGTACGAATATACCACAGCTTCTCTACCCATTCGTTTGTTGATGGGCATTTGGGTTGTTTCCAACTCCTTGCTATTGTAAACAAAGCCGCAGTAAACATGGGTATGCATATATCTACTTGGGTGCATAGTTTTTCATTTTCTTTACTCCTGCTTGGCTCAGAGAGAGACCAGTAATTGCACCATACAGGGCTGTTTAAAAGCCTTTAAATACCACAGTTGCTGCTTCTCAAAGATGTTGAACGTTGTCTTTGTAGGGCCCCCTGTGACAGTAATCCTAATCTCCCAGCCTCAAGCACTCATTCCCTCAGGATGTTTGGTTATGACTAAGAAGTTTTCATAATTTTGCCTCATTTGCTCTACTCTAATAGTCCTGGTGGTGCAGTGCATTATGTGTTGGACTGATAAGCAGAAAGTTACAGATTCAAATCCACCAAGTGCTCCATAGGAGAAAGATGGGCAGTCTCCTCCAGTAAAAATGCATAGTGTTGGAAATGTGGAGGAGGGCTGCTATGAGCTGGAATCGACTTGATAGTTTGATTAACTTGCCCTACTATGTACATGGATAAATTAACTAAAGCCCATTGTCGTCAAATCAATTCTAGTCATGTCAGCCCTCTGTCAGGTTTCCAGTCACTGATAACCTCTGGTTAGCAGTCCAGTACGTAACAGCACAACACACCATACCATCATCCTGAGGGAATGAGTCCCTGGATTTGGGAGATCAGGATGTGGTTAGGGAGCTCTTGTGGCCTACTGGTAAGAAACTGTGCTGCAGTCCTAAAGGCGCACAGTTCGAGTCGGTTAGCTGCTCTGAGGGAGAAGGGTAGGCCGTCTCCTGTGCGATTTACTGCCTCTAAAAACCCACTAAAGGGTCAGCTATGGGTCGGTTCCAACTCAGCAACATACAACTACAGTATACATAGATATGCTTATAGGATGTGCTTATACACATGCAGAAATATTTTCTGCTGTGGTTGTGGGTGTAATCTCATTCACCTTTGCCTACCTGGTCATCTTGCCTGTCTGTCTCTGCTTCCACTCATAATTTAATGTTTATTACTGATAATACAGGATTATATAAGTAGTAGTGTTTACCCTGTCTATAACTGTGCTGTCTCCATGTCTTCCTTTTTACTGGTAAAACTGCTGACCACTGCCTTTTTGGTATATTGCCCTCCCTTACCCAGTTTAGTACTTGCTTCTTACCCAGTTAGTGATTTCCCCCTTCTCTGCCTGAGTCTCATATTGGATAGTTTGTACATAAAGTATCCCATGACCCTGTCATTCCCCAGGATGTATCAACATTGTCCCTGTTTTTACCCTTGGTTCCTTGCTCCTTTTTGTCCAGATTATTTACTCATTCTTGTCTTTACACCTTTGCTTTTGGACAAATGTTGTCCTTTTGATCTTGTGTAATTGATTGCTCTGAGGAATGCTTTCCTCTCAGCTGTTGTTGATTTTATGAGCCTGTTATTTGACAGTAGGGAGCTTTGGTAGCCTAATGGTGCAGAGTTGTACTTTTGACCCAAAGGCAGATGGTGATTCCACCAGCTGCTCCATGGGAGCCAGATAGGCAGTCTCCTCCCGTGCTATTTACTGCCCCTGAAAACCCAGTGGAGGGTCAGCTATGATTTGGTTCGTACTCCACGGCACTTCCTGTTGTTTGGCAAAAAGATCTCTGCTGGCCTAGTGGTAAGGAGTTGTGCTGCCAACTCTAAAGGATACACTTCGAATCCACCACCTGCTCCATGGGAGAAAAATATGCAGTCTTCTCCTGTGCGATTTACTGCCTCTGAAAACCCCCTCGAGGGTCAACTATGAGAGCTGGTTCTTACTTGATGATGCCTAACAACAGCATTATCTGACTGAAACATGGTCTCTAGGAATAGCATTAGTTCCAGGTCCAAAGGGCTTCTTAGGGCCATGGTCTCAAGAGGTCCTCTGGTTCCTGTCAGGTCAGTAAGTCTGGTCTGTTTTGTGAATTTGGGTTTTTAGTCTACATTTTTCTCCCACCTTGTCCTGAACCCGGGTCCCTCCCTCCTCCGAGCAGTCGATAGTGCCAGGCCCCATCTAGTTCTTGTGGTCCCTGGGTCCTGTCGGCCATATAGTGTTTGGCTCTCTGGAGTCTTGGGTTTTTGTCACTTTCTTTTGCTTTAGATAGGAAGGAACCCATAGATACAGCTTCCGTGGCCGTTAGCAAGCTTGGGAGATCCCACAGGTTGCTCACCAGAGTATATTGTCATTTCAGTTGATGGAAATTCTCCTGAGTCTTTGGTCCTTCTTTGAGACTCAGAAGTTAATTTTAAAAAATAACCCTTGCAATATGTGCTTATTGCCCCAAATCAAGCATGACAAATGTGACAAGCTCCCTTTCCTTTAGAGGCAAGGCTAGAGTGTGGAGCATGGGTCTCATTCCTGTTGACAAGCATGATTTTAGACCCCATTTATGCTCTCATTCCACAACCTTTATTGAGCATGTGTGTGGGGTTGGCCCTGCAGAGATGAAGAAGAGTCACTTTCTGCTCTGAGAGAACTCGGTCGGCCAAGGGAGCAGACTTGAAAACAAATAACTACAAGAAGATGTGAGGAGGATAATAATAGAGGTTTGTATGGCGCTTTGGAAAGCCTGAGACAGGAGCTACGAATGGAGGCGGCGGAAAAGGGGGGTAGAGGCAGTCTTCCAGAAGAGAAGGGGGAGCAGGCCCTGGGCTCGGGGGCTGAGAGGCGTGTGTACTTAGAGAACTGCAGATGTTCCTGGCTGTAGGAACACAGAGTGGGAGTGTGGGTGCAAGAGCCGATGGACCTCAGGAGGCCGCTCAGCTGGGATCCACTTGCTGTTGGTGTGGATGGTGGGGAACCCCTGAGCAAGCTGAAGCGGCAAAAGGAAAGCATCCATTTTGCATCATAAAGAGAGCTCTGTGGGCATGTGTTAGGTGCAGTGGGACTGGCTGGGATGTGAGTGTAACATGCTTGGTGTGGCAGTGAACTGCTGAATTAAGGGCTAGTGGAGGTGGAAAAGATAGGGGTGTTTAGGATGTAGTGTTGGAAAGACCTGTCGGCCGGGGGATGTTGGTTGCAGGAGTGAGGCTTTTGGCATGGGGCGGTGTGGGGCTTCTGGAGAAGTTGTCTAGATAAGAAATGAAGCAGGAGAAAGAGCTTTGCAGGAGAAGCAAAGAGGCCTTAACTAGTTTATAGTCTTAGTAAGGTGTGTTTCGGAGATTTCGGGGCTGGAGATGGAATTTGCCAGTTGGAAGCAAAGGGAATGATGGCATTACTCAGAATAAGCAGGTCGATGAGAGGAGAGAACCTCAGGTTAGCCTGACAACACCAGCATTTAAGATGCCCGCATCAGGAAAGTAGAAATCCCACTTCACTCAGATTGCTTAATATTTATCTGCCTTTTAAGTACTCTTTAAAAAGAACTCTTTTCTAGTGTGAAAAATGTCCAAACAAAAGATTATTACCTTGACTTAGTTCCAATTTCTGTTGTGTGGTGTCCAAGAATTTCCCTAGCAAACTTACTTATTCCTATCTCCAGGTGCCCAGAAACATATTAGGGGGTGGGGGGAACTTGAGGCTAAATGAGCATGTTGTACTGGTGAAGCACATATTACAGGACAAAGATAAGACCTGGCCCATGATACCCCTTTAAATCTTGAGAGTCCTTTTGGAAACAAAGACTTTCAAGCAAAGCTGTCACGGAGTTTGTTTTAAGAGGCAAATAATATTAATTTTCAACCCATCGAAATTGAGGTCTTCACTCAACAGCAGAAACTGTTGATTGCCAAGGGGACTGTTTAGGGTGCAGATTAGTAAGAACTAGTCATTTTTTATTTCCTTTCTAATAATTAATTGCCCCAGATATATTACTGTTGTTGTGTGTCATTGTGTCAATTTCGATTCCTAGCAACCCACCTGTGATAGAGAGAAATCGCCCCATTGAGTCTTCTAGGCTGTAATCTTGGTGGGAGAGGATCATCAGCATCAGGTCTTCCTCCCATGGAGCTGCTGGGTGGATCAAACTACCCACTTTTTGGCTCTTATCCATTGTGCCAAGACCCTGGTTACAGTTAAGTATTTGCAAGCTTCTGACTTTCTGTCAAGACAGACACGTGTTTTGCTCAGGATGCATGAAGCAAATGCATACTCTCTCCCAGGCCTTTTCCTCTCAGGAGGCCTGGGTGCCCTGACCAGGAGAGACACAGATCTGACGTTTTTCTCTTTTTTACCAGCACCACTGGGAGCCTCAGTGCCATTCAGAAGATGACCCGAGTGCGTGTAGTGGACAACAGCGCCCTCGGGAACACCACATACCACCGCCCTCCTCGCTGCGTCCACGTCTATACCAAGAATGGGGTGGGCAGAGTGGGTGACCAAATACTGCTGGCCATCAAGGGACAGAAGAAAAAGGCCCTCATTGTGGGGCATCGCATGCCTGGTGCCCGAATGACCCCCAGGTTTGACTCCAACAACGTGGTCCTCATTGAGGACAATGGGAACCCTGTGGGGACCCGAATTAAGACTCCGATCCCCATAAGTCTGCGCCAGAAGGAGGGCGAGTATTCCAAGGTGCTGGCCATTGCTCAGAACTTTGTGTGAGGGAATGTTCAGGCCTTGTGCTGCAGTGGGTTTGTGAAAGGCGTGCAGAGAACCACGTCTCTGCCGAGTGGGAACTTGGGGCCAGATGGTTGCTCCCTTGACATTGGGGGAATAATATTCTGTGAGAAAATAAACTTTTTCACATACGGTTTTCTGCCGAGCTTTCTGGGATATGGTCATGAGGTTAATGGCACGGAAGCATTTAAAAGACTTGTTGGTCTATGTCAGGCCATACAAGATGGCCATCTTTGCTTGGAATGGTCCTGGTGCCAGGGCTTGACCCTTCTTTTATGGTCTGGATCTTGTAATATGAGGTCATCCAGGCTGGACAGGCTCTGGAAAGTGAGGTATATGCCAAATGCCAATTTATAAATGTACCCTGGAGGGTTTTTTTTGTTTGTTTGTTTGTGTTTTTTATTTTATTTTATTTTATTATTTTTGTGTGAGTGTACCGTCAAATCAGATCTGACTGGTACAGGAGGAGATTGTCCCTCCTTCCCCGGCAGAGCATCTGGTGGATTCGAA